AAACTGGCCCCTCAGACGGGGCTCCTGCTGCTTTCATGCAACACTGTCAATATCCTAAATGAGTTTGCATAGGAGCTTTGAATGACAGCCTTATCGTGGGATGTGTTTGGATCTTTTAAGGAAGTAAGTAAGTAATCTTGATTCATATAGCGCCTTTCACAGACCAGAGTCACAAAGCGCTTTAAAATTGTTGTGGGAATTTGTCTCTTAATCCACACAGAGAGGAGTGAGGTCGCCAGTAGAGGAGGCGCAAGCCAGATTTATTCTACATGTTTTTAGTGGTCCAGAGCACCTGGAGGAAACCTATGGAGACACGGGGAGAACATGCAAACTCCACTCATAAAGGCCTCGTTACGATAGGGGTTTTTGTAATACTTTTGAATAAACTATAGTTAAAGTTGAACTCATCATTCTAATGACAACCTGTAGGATTCAGTGATTTTCCACTTTTGGTTTTCTGAAAGCCGAAGCTGCTGGTGCCGTATGTGGCATGTGCTGATTGGAGTCCTCCATGGTATAAAATCACATACACGCAGCAAATCTCTGTATCTCTTTATAACATCAATGAATGTCTTCACAATGGCACAATCCCGGAGCCCAGTGTCATTTTGTGTGCAATTATGTGCAATGTCCCTTTATTTCAATAATGCCACAAACTGTTAAATACTTTGAACCTTTCTCTAATAAGATGAGGTACCTAATCTTTAAACCACAAACATTCAATCAATCAATTTATTGGTAGATTTTATGTATTGCTCTCAAACAGTTTGATTCAATCTCTAGTTTTTGTGGTCACTTGTCACATCAGTATTTTCACGTAGAAAAAGAGGAGACATTTTAAGTGTGTGGAGCTTTTTATCAGTTACCTTTAAGCGCTCCACTTCCATCTGTATTTATTCTTGGATCTGTATGAGGCCCTTGGTCTGGAAGTTTGGACACCCCTGTAGACATTGAAACAAGTATGAGACAGCTATGTCATGTTTGTGGAGAAGCAATTAAGCACACAGGTGGATATTTTTATTTTCAATATTTTCACTGAAATAATAAGAATGGTATAAAAAGCTTGACAATGTAGACATGAAAATAACATATGTATATAATATAAACTATACAAGATCTCAGGATTAAGAAAGCAGGAGATTCCAAGCCATTATATTTACATGAATATCATGTTAGTATTAGATAGCAATATGGCCTACGTGCAGGACTGTACAAGGACTCTACAAGGACTCCATGTTATGACTATGATGTGACTGTCTCTTTGTGACACGTATGTCTTTCGATGTGTGACGTGACAATGACTATATAAACTGTGTACTGCCTTTATTCTGTTGTGTGGAAGTTATTTTGTTGATCTGAGCTGCTTCTATCTGTATTTCTACTAAACATTCTTATCTGAAGAAATGAACGTATTTTTGTTCTGACCCACATTACTACTACAGTATCTATATCTGTGATGACATCTCTGTTCATATGTACATTGATATACATGATATAAAAAGCTTTGTCTTCCTCTGTTCTATCTGAAAGAGTGTGTGAGATCACTGCTATACTGTATGTCTCATTTCTCGACACTTTTCACTTTCACAGAGCCTGCTAAACAACAAACTTCACTCCCTTTTTCCCTTGTACTAGCTCACAAGATTAATTTTTATTGTGCTAGTGCAATGAGAAAGGGTAATAATTTAGCTTTGAGAACAACAAATAGTATTTTTGGATCATTACCATCTGCATCTTTCCCCTGAGAAACAAATTGCAAAAAAATAATACAGCAACAACCAAGGTGGCAGATAGATTTCCAACTTTTGGTATTATTTAAAACAGATATTTATAGATTTGATTTACTCTTTAAAATGTATAGCAGCATGAACATTAGTCTTCACAAAATGAACAAACGCAGACATAACAAGTCATGGCGATTTCATTTTCCATCCGTTGTTCTGACCATAATAATGTCTTGATGTGTATCCTGATTTCATTCTGCCTGAAAAACTGAATAAAACTTCCAGGTTACTTTGATGTGTATAAAGATCCCGTCCAATGCCCTTATTTTCCTGTTTTTTATCTATCTTGTTTTGAGTGCTCCTTGCATGACCGATCTCCAATATGTGCTGTAAACTCATATGTTCCCCATTGTGTGACCAAAAAAACTTTATATTATCTGATCTAACAATGCAAGACTTACACCACACAGCTTTTCCTGCTAAATGACCGACCCTTGCACTGCATTGGCCACAGAGCACAGGCCCACTCCACCGCCACGATTTATGAAGCCCAAATACCCGCGGTTAGTTTGATTAGTCCACTGGGGTGTGGGAGTGTTGGGCTGGAACAATGATTAATGCAATAGCGAAAAAGAAAAATTCCTCACAAGGACTTGTTGATTGAACTGGATACAGCACTGCTAGAGGCGCTGCTACTTATTTGTTTGAATTTACTTGATTGGAATCAGAATGGTTAGCGCTTTTTATTGAGTGTTTTTAGGGGAGTTTAAGGTGTTTCAGAGGGGTAAGAAGGAAAGTGCACCGATGCTGACAGAAGATGCCGTTTACTCCCTGTCATAACCAGCACATCTTTTCAACAGAAGACGGAGAGTGATGAGAAACACCGGCTAAAGATGCCACTCATGCAGAGCTAAGTGTCAGGCCAAATGTCAGAGGTGGAAAGGGGGAGGGGAAATGGATTGAGATTTTTTTTTTTAAACAATGGATATTAGTTGATCCCATAAACTTTGTCATTATGTAATAACATGATTAAAATTTGCAGTATTTTACAGCTTGATTACAATTGCAAAAGAACATATTTTTCAGTGCAGTATGGTTAATATCAATTGATTCACCAAGCCAGGTCTTGGTGAATAACACAATATTGAGACACCAAATATGAATTCATTTATTTATATGAGAACTCATGGACCAAAATAATCATACGGTTTTTCCCAGATCTCCTACACATGTAGCTGTTTGTGTCAATTTGAGTTTTTGCGATTAATATTTCATGCATAACTGCCCCACAAATACTATATATGTTCCGATAGTTGGCTTCGAGTGCCACGAGAGCTTAGTTTAATGAAGGATAAGACGCTTTGTGAAAAAAATAAATCAGATAAGATAAAATAATCTTTTATTGGTCCTTTAGTGGGTGGAATTTCAATGTCATCGTGTCACTGTAGTTAGCAGCAGTCATGAGGTATTAACAGATGTTAAAATTGTACTTTAGCAGCAGAAAACAAGACCAGAATAGACAATAGAAATAGTAAAATATAAAACAATGCATTGTCAATTGAACCAAAGTGGCTCAAAGCAGGCACCAGAAAATGTCCCTCATTTTCAAACCCAAATCTCGACAGGTTTGAAGTGACATTTCACAACGATCTTGAGAGAATGATTATCGAGGATTATTTGAGCATGAAAAAATCTATCAACATGACGACAGAACTCGGTCATACAAGATTAAAAGTTAAATAATTAAATGTACATATGGCCCCTTTAAAATACCAAGAGCTGGACTGGGATCACAGCTTTTGTCCCTGAATGGACCTATCACCAGCCCAGACAAATGCATTGACATTTTGGCCATTTAGACACACATCTATTTACCCGTTTGTGATTATATGAACAAATGGAGAAAGACAAATGTGACAGCGGTTCAGTCCATTGCATAGAGCATTGTGTATTTTTCCTGGCAGGTTGAGGCACTTCATAACGTCGATCAAGGGGAGTTCTGGAGCGTAAACACTATTTGCGATTATGTTAAAACATTTTGGGATTATGCACAGAGTAATTAGTCAGAGTAACAGGCTGCTGTGCGCGTGGACACAAATCATAGCAGCTCAACACCACTTTTCATCTGCTATTCATTGAAACGTTTCATTTAAGATTTTTTAAACTGGATTGAGCGTTTGTCTATTGTTCTGACAGGTGCTGAGAGGAGAAAGCTACTGCTCGTTCCCACAAAGTTTGTAGTCCAACAACTACAGAATGTTACTCCTGTTATTTGGATACGTCCAGCAAAGACTAAAATGAGCAAGAAAGTTGTTTTTGTTTGTGAGGCACATTTCACAGAACAGGGTCACACAAAAAGTTGGTGTGTAAAAAATATAGAAGGCATAGGTGACAGTGCCGGTGGTGATTGGAGCACTCAGCCTGCACGTTGTGACCCCCAAGCTGGAGGAATGGTTACAGAAGATTCCTGGAACAACGTTGGACATCTCGTTTCAAAAATGTGTTGTGCTTGAAACAGCAAAGATACTGCACAGAACCCTCATGCTCCGTGGCTACTGGTAGAGGGCCTGAGCTTAGGGAGGGATGACCACCTGTGGAAGGGATGTTAATGAAATCATAGTTTTAAATGATGTTTAAATGATGTTTAAAAATTAAAGGAACCGGTTTAAAACAGCCAATGAAACAATAGGCCCTCTCCAAACGCAGTCCGGTCTCCCTGGTCTCCCCCCCTCGCAAGCCACCAGGATAAACCAACTCATGTCCACTCAAGACTCGGATGAAGACGAGGCCAGTACAGAGCAGTGTCCGGAATCTCGATGTACCACTATGAATGCCACTCCACACGGCCAAAAGGTCCCCCACAAAACTCCTCCTCTGTGTTTCAATCTGCACCTATGGTCATGAGCTTAGGGTAGTGATGACTGATACAAGTGTGGCTGAGCACTCGCTAAAAGAGTGAGGAGCTCAGAGAGACGGTAGGAGCTCGGGGTAGAGCCACTACAGTCCACATGAATTAAATTACCAAGAATCTAATTTATTTAATATTTATGAAAGATGATTGAGATGCATAAGAAGCTATACTATGCAGCACTTTTGCGTCCATGTGCAGTGCTCTATGCTTTCCTTATTATTGTAGAATATTGTAGAATATTGCGTGCCCTTTTATTTGTTGAAAACAGAATCCTCCTCCACTTCGATACGGTTGGTGTGCGTTACCGGTGTCCCTCCACTCACCTGCGGGGCCTTTTGCGGCTGACGTAGCATGGAATCAGGATATTAACAGGACTTAGACAGGGCCCGCCGTGGCTCGTCCTGGGACTGCCTATAAAGGTGCCCAAATCCTGGCTTCTCTGCTCCATATGAACTCATTTCCTCGCACTGCGTCTCCGCTTCAGTCCGCTGTAACCTGAGCGGGGCACGAAGGGCCGCCCCCAGGGGATGAAAGCATCCAAAAGCTGCAGAATTAACCCGCAGGTCACCAGCATTATCCACCTCTATTTATAGGGAAAGTTTAATTTTTACCGGGTGAAAAAAGGCAAAAAACTGGCTTACAGGGTCACACAGGCAGATTTGCAGTTAATTAAATCAATTGTAAAGATTGGCAAAATGTGTGGTTTTCCCCTCTTCTATATTTCATACCAACAAGATGTTTGAGGTGATATGACATCATTTCAAAATCACATTTGTCATGGTGAATTGGAATGGTTTGATTTTTAGGGGAAACCAATGTTTCTTCAAAACAAACTTTTTCATGTTGGATGTGTAGGTTTCATGGCTAAAATGGGCAGTGCACCGGCAACAAACATCAGGGTGGTTCCAACAGCTCACTCCTCATGTGACTCCTTCCTTTCTTCATTCTTTCTCTACAAATCTGTAGAACCCTTCAGGCAACAGTAGATTTTTTTAGCTATAAGTCACAGACGAGTTGTTGTAAGGTAACATTTGTAAATGTAATGTTTGTGTTATCTGTATATTTACTTTGTGTGCTAAAAATTAATAGATAAATGTCAATATTATATACAATATAGCTTTTTAATTTAGTAATATCTACATTTATACCAATGGTTTTTACAAATTCATTTGATTTTTAGGTTTTTTATTCATATGTTTGATTTAAAAGTGTTTAATAACAATCAATTATTAATAAATGAAATATAAACGCACCAACAGTGTTTCATATTTGCAAAAAGGGGCAGAGCATTAGATAACAAGCCACAAGCCTCTACAATTTTGCAGAATCTTATTGAATTGTTTAGAAATAGATAAGTATCAGCAGGTTTACTCATCCTTAGTAGATGAATGTGCACTGTGTAAATATCAATACAGAAAAAGGTCCATGTTCAGGCCATACTCCTGCAGTGCTCCTCCTCTCTCACCTCCTGCAGCTCCCCTCACAGCTGCCCCCTTTGGCCTGCTTCAGAACCGCTGCACTCTGAGCACAAAGGGGGCTTGTGTGAGGTGTCCGGACCCCCTCCACCTTCGCCCCTCTCCAACACGGCAGCACAAACTCTCCCTCTCTCCCCATTTGCTTCAGATGATGGACCGAGGCAAAAGTTCAGACACCTTCTCTGTTGGCATGGCGCTGGGGCCCATTTGACCCTGCTCTGGTTACCTCTAGGGGGGTGGGGTTACCTACACCGTAACTACTGCTGCTGCTGCTGGATGTGGGCCCCCCCTTCTAACGCGTCAATTTGTCCCCTCATTTACCGTCCCATAATGCCGTAACTGCGCACGCATGGGCTCAAGCGGCTGTTTCCGTGCCAGAGAACAGTGGGGGTGGGGGGAGGTTAGGGTAGGGGGAGTGAGGGGGTTCATTGTACAAGGTCAAGAGTAGCATAGGTGCACAATGAGTACACTATACAGAGGACCAGGGCGAGTTTCCTTCGCAAGGTATAAAGCTGCACTTATAAACGGATACAAGGTTATATTTTGGGGTGGGTTTGACCAAATCTTGACGAGTTTTGTACATCCATCCATCCAGTTAAAGTATTCTTATTCTATTTATGATTATATGTTTATGCCTGTGGGCTATGGAATTTATATATCTACTATACTATAATTGAAATCATAAATAATAAATCATAATAATAATATTCAACAACAAAAAAGGAACATTTGTATAGCCCTAAATCACAACAGTAGTTATCTCAGAGGACTTTACAAAGTTGTCGATTCGCCAACACAGATCAGAGAATTAAACAGATTAAACACATGCAGTGACAAAAACACAGAGTTCCTTGCTCTCAAAACAGTATGTGGAAACCTCACTAGTTTTCACATGCATGTATTTTCAGCCTCTGTCACATCGTTAGATCAGATTTTTCGGACAAAAAAATGAAAAAGAGAAGACCATGCTCACATCAGCTCTAAGCCCAAAGTGTCAAATAGTGATTCCCAGGGTTCATTCTCACAGGTATGCAAGAGATAAAATGTTTTCTCCTACGATGAAGACAGCATGTTGTGGTTTGATTGGGGAGTTTGATTGTGGTACTATTTTTGGGGTTGTAGCATTTCAGATTTATGCAGCTAAAATCTGGAACAGTCTTCGTGAAAATGTTAGACAGACTTCTTCTCTGATCCAGGTTAAAACCAGTTCTGTTCAGCTCTGCTACAACTGAAGGTTTGTATCTTCGCTCTTTTTAATGTACCGTGAATACTTTTGATTTGAATGCACTTTGAGTTTACGTATGAACCGGGCAATCCAAATAAACTTGCCTTGCCTTACTTTGACAAGACTCTTTATGTTGGGACAAAAATTACAAAAAAATAATGAGGAAAAAACATAAGCACTCCACCTTTAAAAGTAAATTTATTTCATTTTGGGATTAATACACGAAACATATTGAACCAAGATAACGGCCACAAACCCATTTCCACTATACACCTGTGTTCTGTCCTTTTAAAAGGCCTCAGTAGCAGATCTGACAGCGATGTGTTTGCACGTCTGGGTGGCAGGTCGCGAAAACAAAACAAATGGCCCACTGACCACTCCTGTTTCCTCTTTTCCCACAATTCAGCTGTCTCGCCTCAAAGTCCTCCACAATTTGGCACATGCTATAGGCCCTCTCACTCAGCATACTACTACTACTACCACTACCACTACACCAAGTCTTTCAGCAAACTCAGCCCCCTAAATGCATGCAGCCATCGCCGCTTATCCGACAGACGCCTAATTTTCCTTGACTGAGAAAACAATACATGGCCTTAACACTGTTGACATCTCAAATGCCTTAAATGTGGTAGTTTTAGAGTCCTGATTGTACAGCAGTGCCTTCGTATAATGCGAGCCATCTGAGGTGAAAGTTATTTAATGATGAGATTAAGATGTGTCAGAATTGAGCTGTCAGCCCCAGAGTTACACACTAACTGACCGGTGACACTTTTAGACTTAATGTGTCATTTATTTTCAAGTTTTTGAGGCTGGAATAAGTATAAATTATTTGTTTCTGCTGTGATTAAACTTACATTTCTACAAATCTGCAGTTTTTACATGCAATAGTTCTTTAGCTACACTCACAGGCTGTAATGTTCTACATGTGTTCTACAAGTTTGGAAGATTTAAAAACTTTTACCACATGTATGCATTTTTTGTGTGTTAAATGTTAGGGAATACTTAGGGTTAGGGTTTTTTCCACGCTATTCATGTTTGAACGCTCTCATTACATATTGCCATCTTGTACTGACTCTGTTACTTCATAATTTTCAAAGGACTTGGACAGGACCTTAAGGATCACTCAAAAAGACTTGTTTTGAATGAAAATTACATATTTCATGGCTGGACTAAAGCCACAGTGGTGCTACGTACCACAGACTGACAAAAGAGATAAATAGAAAACACCATGTCACAGTCAGTATATCAGAGGTGGCCACTCAGAGCAGGGACATAAGAGCAAGTTACAAATATTATTTTTCAAATGTCATATGCCTCTGAAAGATTTATATCCACATGGCCCCAACTCATTTTTACATCTTGATTCTTGTTCTTTTGATAGTCTGAGAATGTTTCCATAGGCTGTGTGTAAATAAATATTCTGCTCTAAATGTAAAGAAAGAAAATTATTGCTATTCACCCTTTCTCCCTCTGTCTGTTTCATGAGCGCACTGATGAGACTCCCGGCCCTGGACATAAGGAACAGTCCCCAGTCTGCAGAGGTTGGCAGTTCTGGAGAAGAGCAATGTAAAATGTAATGAAAGACGATGTTTTGGGTTGTTCTGAAAAAAGCCCAGATATATACAGTACATTATAATCAATTAAAACCCTAAAACCATAAGAACTTGATGATATGAAGCTGTCAGACTCTAAATTACATTGTGACTAAACTGTCTGCATACCATTACATTGTGGCTCCAAATGTAGTGAATTGCATTGGGGGTGAAACAGAGGCTGAAGAGTTCAGGTGCAGTGGAAGTGAAAGAGAACAGAATCATTAACCAGTGTGTCTCCCATGAACACCCCTGTCTGCTCTCAGGGATAATGTTTAGCACAAATAACAGATGCAGTGAGTTCTTTTTTGAACCATGGGGAAGAGAAGATCAAAACAAAAAGTCAAAACAAACTCAGTCTTAGCGCAAGTCCCTAAATCAGCAGAAATCACATTATAATGGACTACAGCTTGCGTATCAGGGAGCCATATAAACATTTTCAACATATTTTTACAAGAACAACTTTATAAAGGAAAGAGCAGCACATGTAAAATCCCGAACTTGAAAGCAGATTATTATGCTCCATGTGACTTGTGTGACTAGTGTGCAGTTTTATAACCTTTGTCAACTGACCAACATATAACCAACGGGCTATAAAACAATACATATTTGGCTGGAGAGTTCCCACTAAAGATGCCTCGGCAAAAAGACTAGGTCAAAATACCTGGTATTGGTCGATGGAAATGAGACTAAAGTCCTGGCAGTCTCCAAATCACAGCTGTTTTAACTTGACAAAAAATGTATTCTTCATCAATTAAAGTCAGAATTGTGTGCTTGAATTAATTCTGTCGGGGGCATGCTATCCTCAAGGGTAAGGACCGCCACTTTGCGAACCCCTGTGCAGGTTATAATGAACATGATTGAATGGCACTAATGCTCAGGGCCAGTATGATGAGGATTAATGAGCTGAAAACTAAAAACTTCAGCTGCTCTGTGACCTAAAAGATCGATGAAGTTTGACGAAATCACACATTTTTGAGGACGAGAGGAGAGTAGCACATGGATTCGTGAAATATGCTCTTTAAAGTGTAGGTCTATGTTTTTGATGAGGCTGAGATACAAATACTATTTCTCATGTGTCCTTTAAATGAAGTGTTTTTTTTTGCAGCGGTGTGGGAGGCGTGACGTGCGTTGAGTGAGCAGGTCTACTTTGGTAACCTCCACACAGAACCAGGCCTTCAATCATTCCCATGCTGTTAGTGTGGGCAGCAGCGTTTCCCAGGCCCCTCCTGAAAAATGACACATTCTCAGACCAGATGCTCTCGTGACCCCAGCACTGTGTGATTAGTAGCGGGGCGGCCATTTTGGGTACGCTATTTTTAACGTCAAGCTACTCCGATATAGTTGCCAGATCATGCATGACTAGGGTTTCACAGGCAGTGGGACCAAATGTGGGCTCATTGGTTTGGCCATAAAACTATGCATTTCAACATTTTATATCAATCAATCAATCAACTTTTATTTGTAGAGCACCTTTCCTACAGACAACACAAAACGTCTCACAACCTATATACTAGCAATAGCAGCTTGTACAGTCTGCAAATATATTTATCTGTGTTGTAAATATTATCCTATACTTTGCAATATGCTATTGCACAACTGGTTAGACGCTAAACTGCATTTCGTTGCATTGTTCTGACTTTGTAATGACAATAAAGTTGAATCTAATCAAATCTAATCACATCACATCAAGCATAATCATAAACATTAAAATCATACAATGCATTAAAAACACACAAGACAATCACAGGAAATATAACATAGGTTTCAAAGTAATTTGAAACCTTAAAAGTACACTGTGTAGTTTTTACTCCCATCTAGCATTCAGATCATATATTGTAATTTACAGTACTACGGTAGCTTTGCAGGACAATATGTTGTGTTTGACAGTGGTCCCCAACTCCCGCTCAAACTCCTTTTTGTCCCTTATCAACCACTGTATTCCAAGATGACGCATTGACATGTAAAGTCCTCCAGCTCTCATGGACATTTATAAGTTAAATTCTAAGCCTATGAAAACCATTAAAAAACATGGTGGAGGTAAATATTCAGGTCACATTTTTTATTGGTTAACATGTTATTTCATTTGGAGCAACTGCAAAAATAAAAAGAGTAAAGATAAAATCAAAGAAAAAATCATTCAGTTGTATGCACAGCCAAAAAGAACTGTTTATAACCTAGATTTGAAAACTACCAGTCTTCCTGAGGGTGTGAGACAGGCACACCTGTCTCACACCCTCAGGAAGACTGTTCCAGATTTTTGCTGCATGAAAAATTATAGAGCAATCCTATACCGTATACTATTCTACGGCAATGACAAGT